AACTAAGGACATCAGGTCAGCGTGCACAGTAACTGTGCTTAGTGACACAGATGAGCAGGCAGCTGGATAAGGTGGGAAGAAGTTGCCATGTTGCCCCTCTCCAGGCCCCACACAGCCTCCCACAGAGATACCTTTCACTTAAGGGAGCAAGACAGACTTGGGTTCAGATTTCTAACAGTGAGACCAGAGATACGGAGAGCTCTGTGGTCCCTGCGTCTAGGCCACTCCAGCAGACTGAGTTGGTTAACTACTTTTGGAAGATGCTTTTGGTTCCCCCACTTCCTGAAACCTCTGCCGGCAAAGCAGGGCTCAAACCTCTAGCAGTGGCACACGGAACACAGAAACTGGTGCAGGGATTTACCCTGGAGCCCATGCCACAGGGAGCCTGGGCCCCTGGGAGGAACAGGAGACCCGGTGTGCAGGTCAGAGCTCCCAGATGGAGCCTGTAGCCTGGCTCTGACGTCAGGCAGAGGCCTGTGTGCTGGTTCAGCTTTGGGGTAGAGCGGACACACACTTCTCTTCTGGAACAGGACCAGTCCTGGGACTGTAAGACCCTGGTGCCTCCCCTCCGGGTGGTTTCCCTCAAAGCCAGTCTCCTAACTCAGGTAGCACAGTTATCAACAGTGCTTATGCTTCAGGCTTTCAAACTTCTCTGTCGTCAGACCTTGTCCCAGTGAGACAGACTTGTTTTGGCCACAGCCAGCTGTGGTGCGACCCCAGTGCGTCCCTAAGATTAAGCAGGTACTTATGGCAGTGAGACTCAGGAATGACCCAGCTTAACCCTAGCATAGGTGGCTAAGGGGGTCTTCAGTGCTGCTGTCCCCACCTTGGATAGAACAGTATCATGTGAGGCCCGTTTGTTGGTGTTGGGGCAAGGTTGCAAGCATGAGACTTTGCCTTGTAACTTAGTGCTGTGTTGATAAATGGGAAGACCCTGGAGACACCCCCAACCCCCAGATCTGTCTACCAATAAGGCCTCTGGAACAGCAGCAGACTCAGGGAGGGCAGCCCCCCCACCCAGTCTGTTGGACTACCAGGCCAGCTACTTCAGCCTGTGTCTATTTACCATGGCCACGGCCCACAAATCCTCCTTAGCAGAGTCTGCTACTACAGCAGTATAGTAACTTGGTCCTAACTCAACCATTGTACTGCTCCTGTCAGGCTGTGGGCTCAGTGGATCACACAGCTGGGTGGAATAGGTGGTTACATATGTGACACAGGAGTCAGAGGTGGGTCTACCCATGGTGAGCCTGCCCAGAGGAGGGCAGAGTTCAGCAGCCTATCCGCAGGCCAGTGACTGTGGAAGAGGCATCTAACCCTAACCCGGTACCAGGGAGAATCCTGCATCATCCCTAGGAGGCAGGCTATTTCTAGATCTCCAATTTCTTTTTCATTAACACTCCAAGACTGATTGGAACAAACGTGGGCTTAGATTTCCATCTAAAACTTCCAAAACGAGACCCCCAAAGCACAGCCCCAGCAAATCTGCAGCAAGCTCAAAGGAAACCAGCCTCACTGGGGACAGTCAGGCTCAGTGGAAATCAGACTAGAGTAAACACCTTACCCTTGGGTGCTCACATGTCACACTAGCTTGCACCAAGGGCTTTCAGGGGACTTTAGGGAACTCTGAGCTCATGTAGGACTCAGGCAGTAACCTGCACAGGGGTCTTAGTGAGAAGTTGAAATTACCATTTTAGGAAGATTTGATGAGCTTAAGGGAACAGAAACTCCTAACAGAGGAACTCATCAAGCTGAAAGCAAATTAAAAAGTTCCCAAGGTAAAAAATATTCTCTGTGAAATTGAGACTCTCACAGAAGGCATCAAAAGTAGGTGAATTGAATAGCATCAGTGAGCTTCAAGATGAGCTTCTTAAAATGCACTGTTGGAGATAAAAGAAATGAGAAAGGGAAAAAAGCTTATGGGAAAATTACGAACTACTGAAGGAACAAGTATGCTATTGGGGTGCAAGAAGGACCCGTGAATGCCAAAGAAGAAGAAAGCCTATTCCCAGAAATAGTAACGGGAAAGTTCACAAACCAGGAGAACAGAAAAATCCTGGTATACGAAAGGCAAGAGTCACCAGTCAAGCTTAAATCAACAAAGTCTACCTCACAATGGTATAATCAAGCAAACTCTCACAGCTGAAAGAAGAGCCCCAAGGCTATAAGAAACAAGAAAGAACACAGGGGAGACAAAATTCTCCTAACAGTGCACTTCTCAGCAGAGACATATGGGCTGGGAGTGTTGTGAGGTTTTCATGGTAATGGAGAGAAAGAGAATACCTGTCAGCGGTCCCCAACCAAGCTATTCTGTAAAAAACGAACAGATAATGACATTCCCAGATTAAAGCTGAGTGTCTGTCTAGACCTGCTGTAGAAGTAATGCTAAAGGAAGTTCTAAGAAAGCACAGGACAGCTATACTCCTAGCACCCAGGAGATGGAAGCAGCATCAGTGTCAGGAGTTCAAGGTTACACAGAGCAAGTTCAACGCCAGCATGGCCTACAAGAAATCATGTCAAAGAGGACAGAGAATCGGGGAGATAAAGGAGGGAGAGGAAGAGGAAGAAAAGGAGAAAAAACACTAGTTTGTAAAATAGGGTGAGAGTGAACTATGAAACACACTCAGGACACTATAGTATTGTAAGCATGGAGCAGACAACATTCAAATTTTTAGTATAAACAACAACAGAAAACCAAAACCCCAAACAAACAGATGATGGGACCTAGCTGGACAATGTACTCATATAAATTCAGATTTTCAAGCTCCAAAGTAATGGAGCACATGGAAAAAGGATGAAGTGCATAATCTACAATGTTTGAAAATGTATAGGCAGCTAAGTATGGTGGCTCACATCTGTAACGCCAGCACTTGGGAGGCTGAGACAGAACAACTTCCCCAAGTTCAGGGTCAGCCCAGGATATAGGTCAAGTCTGTCTTAGCAAGCAAAAGCTAGCTGGTACAAAATTTGAGTAGAAAATTTGCAATCATCTATACTTGAAGCACATAATGAGGACGACTCTGGTGGATAGCCTAGAAGCTGGGCAGGATTTCATGAACAAATTGACTGCGGGCATTGGCAACTAGGGAGAGAAAGGAAACACAGACTAATTCAATCAAATTTGAGGCTGGTGGTGATTATTTTTCTATATCGAGAGAAGGAATAGATTTGGGGTAGGAATAAAACATAAAATCCACTTGAGATATATGGGGGCCTTTGTATAGTAAAAAAAAAAATCAGTTTCCCTTACTTTTGTTATTTACTTGCTAAAGTTCATACCCAAACCACAGAAGTAAAAAGATGCCGTGAAAATATACATTTCCACGGGATACGGGTTCTTTTGAACCAGCTGTTCATCCCACACTAAAACTAGTGTCCAATAAGTGAAACATAATGGGATGAATTTTCTCAAAAGCAGATTTTTTTTTTTCCAGATACAGCACCATCAGTTGTATGGAAATTAACCTATAAAATCAGGCAGTGTACCTCAGTGCAGCTTAACTTGTATCAGGCCCCAAGTTTCATCCCAAGTACCAAACACAACAAAACAAGCAAGAAAACTGATTGATTAACAAGTTTCACTCTTTGGGGAAAATTAACTTTAATGTCCATGTGAGCTTTGAGAATTGTGGCTTTCTAAAAATAGTAGGATCAAATTAGTTAGTTTTGCTATATTGTGAAAGCTAACTCTCAGGGGACAGTTATTACCCGAAAAGAAACTTACTCTGGAGACGAAGGATCAGGTGTGTAACTATGTGAACAACAGCCCAGCCTCTGTCCAAGTAAGAGTCTGTACAAGACCTGGGGTTAGGGAAAAGGGTCAAGGGATATGTCTACCCATGTCTTTATGGCTAAGATTATAGCTAAGATAGAGGTGCACAGCAGACATGTATTGACTCAAGGCGGTGTTAGGACCATTTCACAGCGGAGGGAAAGGAGGTACAAAGAAACGAAATACGCTCCAAGTCACACGCTGTCACAAGACGTCAGACGGGATTTTTCAGGCTGGGAAACCCTGGCTTTCAGAGACTGTGCTTACACCCGTTCAACTCTGCTCCTTCAACAAGTCAGCCGGGGACCTTTCAATTAACTGGAGTGATCTTCAAAGTCTGGAAAAATTTAAAGTTGCCGCCAGAGGGCATGGATCTGCCCTTGGTTCCGGGGGCGTAGGAGATTTCCTTTCCCAGTTAAAGGCGCTCACAGAGTAAAGACACTGGTGATGTGAGCGGTTGGAGATACAGGCGCTCACAGAGTAAAGACACTGGTGATGTGAGCGGTTGGAGATACAGGCGCTCACAGAGTAAAGACACTGGTGATGTGAGCGGTTGGTGTGTACATTTTGTACTGCGGTCGAGGTTTCCCCGCCTGCTTCGCTTTTGGCAGCTCTTAACTGCTCCTTACCCCGCTCTTGAAACTAAAACCCCTTACCTACTGAGCAAGAGAACCACGGGTCATTATTATTATTATTATTTTGCAACAGCCGTGTGAGGATCCAGCGCGAAAGGACGAGCGTTTGGGGCGGCGCGCCCCGGGCACACGCGCGTCGTCACAGACAGGCCGTGGCGGACGGGTGGGCGAGCGTCGCGATGGGAGCTGGCGTGGGCAGGGACAGGAGGAGACGAAGCGTCTCGTTTCCCGTACGGCCCACCATTTAGGGAAAACCGCCCACCACACGGCACCGGCTGCTTAACCCCCGAACCGAACCCCCGGCCCGGCCCGGCCAGGGGCGGCTGAGGCGTCGGCGACGAAAGCGCCAACCACTACTCGGCCGTGTGAACGAACCACAGTGCGGCCGGGGCCTGGCGGGGACCGTGGTCTCCTCCCGCCGTCGGACGGAAGGCGAAACAAACGTCTCCCTCCTTCCCGGGAAAACGGACGAGCCTCTCGGGGGCGCTCCCCGCGGCCGGGGCAGCCGGGCCCCCCCCCTCCGCCGCTTGATGGCGTCACACACCACCGACGCGGGAAGCATCGCGAGGTCTCCGGGCCCGCCCCTCCCCTCTGGAATCAGCTGTGAGTGTGAGAGCGCCGTGTGTGTGCGCGTGTGCGCGCGCGCGCGCGCGTGTGTGTCGCCTCTGTTCTCGCGATATTCCCGTGGACGCCGGGCTCGGGCGCCCCAGGGGCTTCTGGGAAACATGGCGGTCGGCTGGGACCGTAGCACTAGGTAGGACT